ACTCTGGTATTAATCACCCGCCCTCTATCCTGACCCATAAAAATTCCATAAGAGCGAGTCTAAAAGGCAAGGAAGAGGAGAACAAAAAAAAATAAAAATTATTATTTATCCTCTCAGGTCCACTTGCTGGTAAAATTATAAGCAAGCAATAGATTTACCGGTCATTTGTGGATGTTTTTACTGTGACAATTAGGAACAATGTGTATAACTAGCAAGTATGAGAAAATAGATTACAGGCTGATTTGAAAGGATGTGAGTGGGCGCATGGTAAAATTTTGCTCTCGGCGCCTACAACCTCTGCGACTCTACAATCTCAATAAATTGTTAAAAGTTAATTTTTATACACAGTTCTTAAAATTATATTAAATATTTCGTAAATACAAGTATATCTAAAACAAGAAATAGCCTTGATTTGTAAATAAGTTAACTATTTGTATAAACCAAAATAATGATTATGGTTAGATATGGTTTTATAAACATTTCATTTAATTAAATAAAGCTAATCTAGAATGCAAATTCTGATTATTTACCACACTATAGATTACGAAAATCATCTAATAAAATCATCCATCTCTAATTTTTCATTTAAAGAGATCGGTAGGAGAAATTATGTCAAGGCTCTCTCTTAACAATGTTTATTTTTAAACACCATCATGCAAATAAATACACATATCAACGGAAGACATTTCCTGGAACTACATCGATTACGAAATTGTCGTAAAACAAATTAACTTGTTGAAATTGACCGAGTATAATAACCTGTTTGAAATTGCACGAACTAGTTCTGTCTCAGAAAACGGAATATCATATTCTTGTTTAACCATCAATTTTCCCAATTAGCATTCGAAACGTTTCTCTTGTCAGTTTGTTTCGTTTCCTCAAACATGCGTTTACACTTCATCTGGTTGTGGTTTTCCAGTTTCTTACTCAAAAAATGTCTTTCGAATTCTTCTATTTACATAAATAGAACTTCAATAAATAGTTATTTAGAAGTCCTGGCTTATGAAGTAGCAGATAAGTATTTTTCAGATCACAGGTGTGTCGTGGTCATGAGTGATGAAGGCCTCCTCAGAAACTTAAAAATAAACACAACAGTAGTACAAATCGAAATGCATCCTGCCAGAGAAAATTGTGTTGAAGAGGTCTCGGATCTTTTGGGTCTTACGTTTCGCGATAACTGCGATGGGTAACTTATAGAGTATTATTTAAATATTAGATAATCCACAGATCTCTTTAATAACTTTATTTCATACAATCAATTTTTTATTTTTATAAATTAAGGCCATATTTCACCAACATTTTATTTTATCTTGACAACGCAATTGAATCCTCCAACGAAATATCTATATTCAATATCATTTTCCTCAATCTGAGAAGAATTAAATTGTCCTAATATTTTAGAGTTTCCTCTTTGTCATCAATGGAGGGACTAATATAATTTGAACATTAGTTAATCCACAAATCTCTTTAATAACTTTATTCCATACAATATATTTTTAATATATGTTTGCTTTATTTAATACGCATAGCTAACCACTAGCGGATCCAGGATTTAATTTTGGGGGGGGCTTCAGCCCGAAAGCTTTTTTTTCATCAAAATTACGATAATTACTTTGGAAAAAAAGAAAGAAACTAACTACCTGTATGAAATGGTGTTTAAGTGATTCCTAAAGCCCTTTTAATATTAATCACACGAACAATAATACTTTAAGAGTTACTTTTTTAATATTTTGTTCGATAAAACATGGTTATATTTTTCCATTTTGGGGGGGCTTCAGCCCGAAAGCTCCCCCCCCCGTAGATCCGCCCGTGTAGCTAACCAAACGTTTTGGAGAAGGGGACAATTTAACTTAAATTTCTGTTTCAAAAAATATTCTAATCGGATCATTTCCACAATGACTTCAGTGCCGGCCTTAGACATTCGGCGCCCCTCCCCCTCGGACAATGACGTAATCTCTTCCCCATAAAAAATATAAATTTATTTCTTAAGCTGTTTTATATTATGTAATATTTGGATTTTATTTCATTCACTATTTCTCGTATATAGTCGCTCCATTGACAGGCTAAAATTAATTATTTTGAGACGTGTTGCATATTTTTTAATTTCTAACAAGTGGCGAGCGCCCCTTCAGATCGGCCAGCGCCCCCCACCGGAAACCCCTCCAGGTCGGCGCCCCGAGGCTGTTTGCTTCGCCCCAAGGCCGGCACTGAGTGATTTATCCATTTCTTTCTAAAATCTATAATTGACCCATCACTATTTGAAATGATGGGTCATTACACATATTAAAGTGTAATCAAAATAAGGATGAGCTGTATTAGTGGTAAGCTTCTGATGGGTAGACCGGCCGCCGGAGGTAGGATGTAGATAGCAATTGGTATCAATTAGTATCGGCATCGAACCTTCGGATTCGCTAAGCCTTTTATGATTAATTATAAAAACATACTTGGCGGTCCGGATAGAAGGTGCTAACTGGGCGGCTTTAGCGACACTTGGTTTTAAAGATATATTTTAGTCGTGCCCCTTAATCATCATCTCCTTGCTGAAATCTAAAGTTCAACATGATTGTAAAGAAAAATGTTAAATCTTCACATGGGAGTGAGGAGGCTCAGGGAGTGTGTAGGTCAATATGCTCCATATTCCAGTTTCCGGATTCGATTTCCGACTGTGGCAAGTAATTATTACATTGACCGTGGATGAACCCTTCGAGTCGGATGAACCTCTTTGAGTAAATCCAACCTCTACAAAGCGGATACTCTTAATTAAATAATTAATTAAAGGGGTGAAATGGGGCAGTCCATGATCACATTGGCCCAATTACCTTGCTCAACCGTTGGTCTTGAGAAATTACTTCCTTACAAAGTATTCAACACCAGACCCTTCCATGGGTTGTAGTGCAAGGTTTTTTTTTCATCTTTTATATTATTTTATTTTTTAATAACAATCTCTTAAATGCTGATCAATTCTACAAAACATTATTTTTATTATACACGATAAGATAATGTTGATTATGATTTCAGGTACATCATACAGTCCAGTAATCCGGACTGCGCCTTTGATGGATGGTTGGATAATTACTTCCATGCTTCTGTAGCTCGCCACAATCCAAAATATTTCTTTCTCCCTGTTCATCCTCACCTCCTCACCTATGGCGACGAGCTACTCTCGAGAAGAGAATCAGACCAAACGGCGAATTTTTTAGTTTCAGAAATATATGAAAATTCTACAGGTTTGAAAATCGATTAAATTCATGAGGATGAAATTATTTGTATTTAATTAAAAACGTTATGCAACCAAAATATTGACTACACCCCACACTATCAAACAATAACAGAGCCAATATTATTCAGTTTATGGTTGTTGTTTTTCTTTTACTAAAATTTCCAAATTCAAAATTGTACTCGGTTTCGTTTGGAAAAATGATGGCGTCAAAGTTATCAAATTAGTCGCCAAATGGTACTTGTATATGGAAAAATACAAATAATCGTTTTTCTGTCTTTTATATACTGAATCTGCACTTGAAGTTCTAAAAAGAAATTTTCCATTTAGTTCCGAGATATATGCAAAAAAACAACGAAAATTTCGCACTTTTTTCAGTTTTTTAGCCATGACTTTGAAACTGCATTTTATCGAAATTAATCCTCTCAATAAAGTTAAATAAGTTATAATCTAATAAATATTCCATACCTAGCTTCAAATAATAATAAGAAGCAAACAGTCAACTTGCTCTAACTCCTCACCTGTTGACCCTACATTAAAAAGACATGTAGGGAATTTTTATTCATTCTTTAAATTTGTAGAGAATAATTGTTTGAATAAAATGAATAGTTTCGGAGTTATGAACAAAAAAAGTACGAAATTTTAGCTGTATTTTGCATATATAATGGCTTAGTAAGATTTGTCAATGGAACCCCGAGACGTTCTCCTGTATCTCACTACTACACCGAGTTAAAGTAGCTCTTCCCCTCCTTCAGAAGACAATCTTTCCTAGGTACATTCCTTTACCAAATAATCTATAATCATCGTCCGTCCTATGCATTCAATCTCCTTCAATTCAAGTCATCTATCCACTCCCTCTCCACAAGATCTCGTACTTCTGACCTTTATACCCCTTTCCACAAATCTGCCTCATTTCAACACTCCTTTATTGTCCGCTCCACTACCTTTTGGAATTACATCCCACTTAAAATCCGCAATGCACCATCCCTATCCATATTTAAAACCCTCCTATTCCAATTCCTCCTTACAATTCAAACAGACGCTGGGTGGCCATTTATCATGTAACAAAATTGCATTTTTCTCTATTTATCATTTGTATATAAATATATATTCTTTTTTGGGCATGGAAAAGAGGTCTAGTCACGTTCTGTAATGTAAATGTGATAAGGTAAATACTTCTGTTATCAGTTAGTTTTTAGTTATTTTTTTTACTGTAATATGTATTTTGGCCAGATGTTATGTTAATTTTTATGTACAAAATTGTCATTCTTAAGGGACTTTGCCCCAGAATAAAGTTGATTCTTCTATTCTATTCTATATATAAAATTTCGGTTGAGAACTCCAAATTTATATCCAGCACCCCCAAAACATAAAAAAAAAAAACACACAGAGAAACCGAATATTTGAATTTTTTCCGCTTCCAACTATCCGACAAAAAAAAAAAAAAAAAAAAAAAAAAAAAAAAAAAAAAAAAAAAAAAAAAAAAAAAAAAAAAAAAATGTTTTTCTGGTGTGAAGGATGAATAACTTCAATGTAGGAATATTGGATGAATCAAGGAATATTGGAATTTCTGAAAGACTAAAGTCACTCTGATGAATGGTCTCTTCCTTGGATCAATCCAAGTTTCTATTTCTAATTATCATTTCTGTTATAAAAACTTCTAAAGTAAAAAAAATGACACAAAAATTACAATTTTTGATTTCAGATTGGTCAGTGATAATATCAACTAATAATTTCTATTTACATCCAATGGCTCCAGGAAGAGAACCGAAAATATATCTTGATGAGTGGCATTATAAAACTGGTTTTAAGGAAAATGTGGATTTATACCCTGACAAAGTTTTAGATCTGAAAGGGAAAGGTAAGAGTTAGTTTACATTTATGAGTATTTAATGGTTACCTAATTTATTTTAGAATATAAATGAAAGCTGTTTTACTGAAACTTATTTTAAACTAAACAATGATTTACATTGATAAAAATTATGGAAATGACATGATTATAGGTATTTCTTTTCTGTAAAAATCTTGTAGATCTTATCTATTAAGATTTCCATGGGTTTAATTTTCATATTATTCCAAATAATTGACATAATACACAGAGGAAACTATTTTTAAAAAAATGGAAATAAACATAGCTTAAAATAAAAAATGATCTGAGTTGCAATCTCAAAATGTCATAAAGATAATACAATGCAATGCATTAAAAAATAATAAATTTTAAAAAATGTTCCATACCTTATATGAAAATTCTTCTCCAAGTACAACTACCAAGAGATTACTCTCCATATCCACCAGTACTGATCTTTTTAGTCAATTTACTCCTCCTATACTATATTTCAAAAATAAAAAAGTTGTGTAAAAAGCAAATTATTTTATGAAAATTAAATCAAAAGATGAATCAAGCTTTAATAAAAATTTCCAGGTTTCCTTGCCTAAGAGCATTTTTTTTTTTTCATTTTATATAAAATTGCCAATTTTATTTTATTTAGATATATTTATGAGAAGGAATTGATCGGGGGGTGCGGTCAAATAAATACTAAATTTTTAAAAAATAGTATTTTTAATTACGCCAACGTTTCTCAACATCATTAGAAATATTTAAATTATTACATTGGATATTTTCTATGTTCATACCTTCATGAAGTTATATTTATCCCTATAGCACTTTTCCTAGATATTAACATTCTTCCTGTTATTTATATAATATTAGAGCCATAGAAAAAAATATAAGGAACTAAAAAGAATTGATAATATTTTGTCAAATCAAGCATCGTTTTTGCTACCGTTATCATTAATCGTTAAATAACTCTAATATATTTAATTTATACAAACAAAATAAATATTCATTGTTAAATATTTTTCTGTAACAAATATCTATAACTATTTAAGCAATGGCTGGAAATGGTTTGAGTATTGTATGTTGGATATTTATGACATAACTGGAAGATAACAGTTTGCTTAAAAAAAAGCTATCTACGAATCCATTCTGCTAATTGCTGCATGAATAGAACAGGATGAGCTAATAAAGGAGGAAATCTGCTATTTTTATTCATGTAATTTTTCATCTAGCAACCACTAATAGAAAACAACAGTAAAAAAAAAAAAAAATAAATAAAATAAAATGAAAAAGAAACCCACTACAAAAAGTTTTAAACTAAGACAAATAAAAACAAAATTAAAATGACACTCTTGAAAAATACATACTAAGATCGGGGGTGACTAATTAGGAGGCTGTTGATAAGTTCTCACTTTCTTGGGTTACTAACTTCCTCATCAGTCTCCTAGTGTGTTCCTGACTATAAATATACAAGACAACAACCCATGCTTACAGCTAATCTTCGTGCTGAATACTGATTGGTATACATGGACGACTTATTATCCTTATATGAGGTATGGCTATTAAGTAACGATACTGATACTGTAAAACATTTTATTTTAATTTCATACATATTCAATCATTATGAATTTCAATATACACTCCTCTCCTATCCCTACAATAATCCATGCGAACCTTCCATAGTCTAAATAAAACTGGAAGTCTTCTGTCAACTCTTTCAGGATGCGTTTCAACTTCATCAGACTCAAATTTTGTTTCTTTCAATCCAGATTTAAAAATTGTGTTTTTTTTTCTTATGATCCTGAATGGAAATGCGAATCCATGGCTTGGATGAGCCCAACATCACCAAGAGTAAAAAAAGCTCGAATGAGCAAATCAAAATTCATAGCAATGATGATTGTTTTGTTCTTTATATATTCGAGGAATAGTCCACTTTCACTGGGTTCTTGAAGGTTAAACTATTAATTAAAATTACTACATTCACATTCTTGCTGAAAGAGGAAGTAGCACATGTTATGAGCTGACAGTTTAAAATTATATATGTCTCTTTATTTAATATCCAAACCTCACAGCTCACTTTTAAACATTTACTTTGAGGTTGGTTTGTTTTTAGATTTTGCATAACAATGATTTTGTAATGGGCTACTTTACTTTGAATGACTGATGTTCTTAATTTAAAATTTGGCTAAACTGGGAAAGAATAAGTTTACATTGCCCTTCAACAAATGTTAACATGTCTAGCTCAATGAAATTGAGCTTAGGAGCTGTTGAGGCTTTAGATAGTTAGTTTTAATATTAACTTATTATCATACAGACAATAGTAGGGGACAGAGATATAAAGAGAGGCTCATTAATATTAAATATTAAAAATGGAAATTAAATTAAGAAGCTACAGAAACCATGAATCCATTAGGAAATATGATGTGTGTTGAATTAGCTGATACCTTTAGAAAAAAAGATCTACACCGGTAATTTTATAGGCTATTTCACCGGTAATGAAAAATCTAGTGCACCTAAATAGAAAATATATATGAACTATTATAATTTCATAAAATTATGACCATATCAACTATCACAATTCCATAAAATAATTTAACATACATAAATTATATACCATAATTTAATTTAAGATAATTTTTAAATAGCTTTCAGAATTGCTACAGCTAAATATTTACCTTTATGTCAACCATATCCTTTGGAGGGTACAGAAATGAGAACAGTATTGTATTTCTGTAAGAAGTTCAATTGCACCCCCGAGCCTGTTACTGATGATGCCTTCTGGGGAACAATTTATGATAACTTGTCTGCAGATGGTATGCAATTATATAAAATACACATTTGGTATTCTATAGGCGAAAATTGTTTAAAATTGTTATAAATCTTTGTAGGTTCGTTAGGTAATGTCTACAATGACAGGGCTGATATAGGAACCCTGGGAATCTACCTTTGGCTCAAGGAATGGTACTACATAGATTACTCTACAAGTTATTTAGGAAGTGAAGCCACAGTAATAGTTCCAAAGCCCACAAAACTGAGTGCATGGATTCTACCATTTTTGCCTTTTAAATTCGACATGTGGATAGCATTTTTTATTTCTTTATTTTTGTCAGTATCTTCGCTATATTTAATTACCAGAGCATCAATAAGATTCACTCGTAAGTGTATTAATTTTAATAACTTATAAGTCTTAATAACTTTAATAAGTCTTAATAAGTATACTAGCGAAAAACTCTAGAGTTGAAGTATATTAAATCATTCAGTGATAAGACAATCAAATTTCTTTGAATTTCCAGGTTTTCGTGATCATCTTATCATGAAAGTCCAATTTACTACAGTTGAAGACAGCATCATAAGAGCTATAGGTTTAGCTGTTTTACAACAACCGTCTTCACGTCTCAATGGAAACTCACCAAACCGATATTTATTCACTTCTTTTGAGTTCTTGTACTTAGTACTTTCAGCTATGTATTCAGCAGAGTTGGCTTCATTTCTCACTGTTCCTTTGTAAGTTTACAGTTTGACTACTGATTTGAAATAACTGATTTATAACACTATATAAAGTAAACAAATTTGATATCACTTAATTAGTTTAAATTTAAGCTAAAAACTGTACTTTCAAATTGATATATTTTATTTAAGCCTTTAAACTCGTAATATTAAAATAGGCAATCTAATTTTTTTCTTGCAGTTATCATCCTCCAATAGATACTTATCATGATTTTGCACAGAGTAGAATGGATTGGTTCACATCAAATATAGCATGGGTATATACTCTTCAAAATGCTGTTCAAGATGAAGATACAAAATTAATTGTTGATCATTTTAGTGTAAGTTAACTATTATAATAGAATATAAATAGAAAATAAACTTTATTCTGGGACAATTTCCCCTTAGAATAACAATAATGAACAGTTACAAAAGAAAAAAATACATATCTGGCCAAAAACTAACTTTATAAAGATTCAAACAACTAAAATTATAGAATGTAAATAACTAAAAAATAAAATAAAATCTTCTGAACTATACTTATAATTGCACTGGAAAAAATAACAAAAAGGAAAGAAAACAAAAAAAAAAGAATTACATGTGTAGAAACAAAAAGCAAAACCTCCAGAAAAGAAAACATATCAAAAAAAAAAAATAAATAAAAAATAGAAAAAAATTAAAATACGCAATGGTATTGTAAACTATAAAAGAAATATGGAGATTAAGATAGAAAAAGATATATATTTATACGAATTGAGGAATGTAAGAAATGAAATACGTCTAAAATAGACACAATCTTGTAGACGGGAAAAAAAAATGGATAAAAATAACTGACGATCTCTTATTTTTTATGCATTACCTCTCAGTGCTATGCAAAAATTGATACTGAATCTTTCCAATTCATAAATAAACAAAAAATAAAATAAAATAATGGTGAAAAAAAATTATCCTCGTTACATAATACATAATTAACAAGCGTCTGAAGAGGAATTGTGAAGAGAAATTGGAATAAGAGGGTTTTGAATGTGGATAAGGATGGTGCATGGCGGATTTTAAGTGGGATGGAATTCCAAAAGATGGAGGAGTTGGACAATAAAGTAATGTTGAAATGAAGCAGATCTATGGAAAGGGGTGTAAACGTCAGAAGGATGAGATGCTGTGGAGAGGGAATGGATATATGATTTAAATTGGAGGAGATTGTATACAAAGGACGGGCGATGATTGCTGATTATTTGGTAAAGGAATGTGCCAAGGAAGTATTGTCTTCTGAAGGAGGGGAAGAGCCACCCTAACTGGGTATAGTAGTGAGAAACACGGGAATGTCTTGGGGTCCCTTCGACAAATCTTACTAAGCTATTCATAATTCTTTTTAGGCTGTCCCCGAGTTCCACCGAGAGGCCGCCGTAGTCAAGGTGGGGAAGATGAGGGAGGGATTATATTGCAAGAACTTATTGTTGCAAGAACTAAATCTAAATAAAACAAATCTTTTTAGGTGCTCTCAGCAGATGAACTCAGGGAAAAAATTAAAGAAGGAAAGTATGCTTTTGGTGTTGAAAGAATGCCTGGAGGTGAGAATTTTTTTAATATTTTTGAATCTTGAGTAAGTTAAATACTAATTTAATTATAATAAAAAAAAGATGTCAATTTCTTTTAAACTTGCATACAAGTAGAATGAAATATTTTTTCAAACTTGATTTGGTGGATTTTATATACCTTTTTTTAACTTAAAAATAATCTTAAAAGTTTAAGTTTAGTTAGAAAATTTCGTTTAATTTTCTTCGAAACATGTGGTTTACTTTAAATAATATCAGTTTTCAGAAATTATTATCTATAATTTTTTCTTCAGTCTCTATTATCTTCTACGACTTTGTATATTAGACATTGTTTTTTCTAAAATTCTCAGCTCGTCAACATTATATTATATGTATACCTACTGATAATTATTTCCAGAAATTCATTTTTGACCTAAATAAATATTTTTCGTTATTTCTCCTTTAGTAAGCACAAAATTATTTTGTAGTTTATATTTAGCCTTTTATTATTACTGCTAAAGAGCGGTTTTTGAGAAAATCATAAAAATGTGTAAAATCTATGATACCTATATAAAGTGGTTATCCAATTTTAAGGGAAAAGTTGCCACAACATCCCAAGAATATACCTACCTTAAATATGTATCCCTGTTGAGCAAATCCGATACCTAGGATTCCACCTGGACAAACGACTAACTTGGAATCCTCATACTAGACTGAAACGACAAGAAACCGCTCGACGTTTCCGATTACTTCAGCACTTACTAGACAAACGCTCTAAACTTCCCATTAATTACAAAAGACTTATATACTTGACTATAATAAGACCTATTTGGACTTACGGAGTTGAGCTATGGGGCTCCACTAAACCATCGAATTCCTCTCGCATCCAATCCTTACAATCCAAAATCCTTCGTAAAATCCTCAATGCTCCTTACTTTGTCACTAATAAAATTATCCATAAAGATCTTAATGTTCCTTATGTTTCAGATCTGGCCCAATCCAGATACCTATCCTTCCATAATAAACTTCAGAATCATCCCAACCCTCTCGTTTCTAACCTTGCTTCCTCTTCAATTCCTGATAACCCTCCGAGGCGTCTGAAAAGAAGATGGCCCCGTGATCTCCTAATATAGTCATATCATTAGAGTGCTACCATTGGGTAGTTACTCAGCAAGTGTATTCATGTCATTATATCAATTATGTCCAAATTTACTTGATGTATTTATGTAATACAGTTGTAAATGTCATAAAGAAATAAAAAAAAAAAAAAAAAAATATGTAATTTCTATTTCGTGTGACTTTTCTTTATTGAGGTACTGTTCACATACATACACAGACACAGACCATTTGGGAAATTTGGTCATTTGGATTTAAGGGAATTCAAAACATATATTATTATTAAAAACTCAGATTCAAAATTGTTCACGGTTGCAACTCTTTTCCCTAATAGATATTACATTTCAAGAAAGTAAGAAGTACCACAACCTTCAAGATGCTTTATTGAAAAATGAAGTTTGTTCCTACCCATTCAAATAAACCAAAAAACTAAACACAAACACATACAAAATCTAAAAAAAAAATCAAACATTTAAATAAGAAAAAATTAGTAGTAGATCGTTATTGATAGTTAAAGCTAAAGTTAAGTAGTCTCAAGGTGATATGGCATCCAAAATTCTATTGTTAAAAAAAAAAAGTTGTCTATTTCAACTAACAGGGAGTTGAGATATAAAAAGTAATTGTTTTAAACAACAGCTAATAACTAAATTAACAGCGAATTTAATAAAAGTAATATTTCAACTAATTAGCTGTTTAGCTTAAACTTAGTTAATAAAAAAGTTAGTTAGCCAACAGCCAACTCTGAAGACACTTATATATATTTTTTTAATTTCCAACCAACTAATCAATGTATTAATATAATTTTTAAATAAATAACACAAGCCATATGAATAAATTAGTATTCAGACAAACAAATTTCTTTTTAGTTAAAAAAAGAAATCAGCCGTAATTTTCAGTTCATTGAAGTAATCAATAAATATGTGTGATATTTTATTTTATATATTAATATATTATATATTTTATTTTATATTATATATTTTATTACTTAATTTATAGACAATAAATAAAATCATTGAATAAACATGCCATTCGTCAATTTTTTTCAATGATTATTTTCAGGGTCAATTACTGAACAAGATTATCAGACATCAGATGTTATTCCGATGTATCATATTATGAAAGAGAAACTGTATGGTTCTGCTTTTGTAGCATCCATAAAGAAAGGTTTATTCTTAAACTAATAAATTAGTTTTCATAGAAAAGCAGGAAAATATTTTTACTCACAATTGCTACTGTTGGATTTCCAGGATCTCCTTACTTAAAGCACTACAACGAAGTTATCTTGAAAGTTGTTGAACATGGCCACTTTTTATATTGGGAAAATGATATTGTAAGGCAATATTTAGTTTCAAGGTATAAAAATTAAGATTTTTATCAAACTTATCAGAATGCTATAATGGTTTTTAATAAATTCTTTTTTTTTTAAATTTAGTTTTGTTTATACAGCATTTTCAAACAATGCAGGAATACATAATAATTTCTACAAAATTTCAGGAAAATAATTTTGTTTTTTAAAAATCTAGTTTGGTATTTATATGAATAACAACTGAAACATATTCTAATAAATGATTTAATCAACAATAACCTTATTTTGTTTTATAAACAATTTTTTATTTTCTAGCATCCAGGCAGCTTATGAAGAAGCCAAAACAGTTCGCATTGATCATTCTCCAGCAGTTATACAAGTTTCAAATATTCAGGGTGTGATTTTAATTTATGCTTTTGGAATAATCATTTCAATAATTGTATTTTTAGTTGAAATCATAAGATATAGAAAAAGCAAAATTATGTCATTTAGAGAGGAGAAAAAATTGTTAAAATTTTAAATATGATGTTTTTTTCAAGAAATCACCTCATTTGCACCTTTTCCATCTATTTTATTTTTTATAACAAATAATATTGAAATATATTAACAGATTAGAAGAATAAAGAATAAAGTGAATAAAAACTAGCAAATAAAGTGATATATGAATAAAGTAAAAGTTATAATCTAATTTGAATTATTGGTCTGAACCTACCCTTCTTATTTTCATTTTAATTGGAAGAAAAAAAATTCTTTCTGCATAATATTTTTATGTAATCAATATGAATTTATGTATAATTATTTGTAAAAAGAATATATATTTTCTGGTAGCTAGAAACAATCTCGTAGCACCAGATTAAACATATCTAAACAGCTGAGAAGAAGAAACATGATAAACAGTTTTAAAATATGAATAATGTGTAATAATTGGTACATTAATCCAAAAAGGTTTTATCAGAGACCACTAAAGTTTACCATAAGACTAAAAATAAAAATATAATAAATTTTAGATACATATTCATATCATTAAGTAACTTTAAGGCACAGCAGGTGATGAAACTGGCTAGTTGTGTTGGTAAGCTCAAAGAACTGCATTAAACTTTTTTTTTTTTTTTTTAAATGACCATTTCGTAGCACTTAGATATAGCATTCTGTGCTATACGTGCTCAGACAGAATCCAAATTCAGGAGAAATTCTCCCCTCAAGGAGCTTGTCTCCTGGAAATAACAGTGATGTCTCAACAGAAGAATATTTGTAAGAGGATTCATGTTGGTAGAAAAGGCAAATAAGTCCTCTTTTAAGGATGGTTTTCCTATCAGGTTAGAGGTTGTTAAAAACAATATTGCACCATCAGGAAATCAATAATTTGATAAGTAATAAGTCTAATATGATGAGTAATAAGTAATATCTAATATACTAAGTACTAAGTAATGTTACTTTCTCTCTTATGTTTTGCCTAGGATGCCAGATATGAGGGAGCAAGTCTGAGAGCAATCCTGATCAGTATTAGTTAATTGAATCTTAACTAATACTGAAAAGTCTTTCTCTTAAGTAAAAACTAGAATTTGCCTTCCATGACATTGGGACAAGTGCTTCACAAATTAAATTCTCATAGAAAACAGAATAAATTAGGACAAATATTTCCATAATAAAAATAATATACTTCTCAATATAGATAATCTGTGATGAAATGAGACAAATTTTGATTGTCAAAGTACCAACCTTAACAGTTAAAAAAAACACCACCGTGACTCATACTGTGATTGTGATTAAACAATCACTCACGCGAAATTTCGCTTTTAGGAAAGGGGGACATTTTTCATATTATATGTAATAATATTATATCAACATTATTTTCGTTTTCCACTTCTCTCGCCTGATCGAGTTCCTTGCTCACAAAACGTACCTTTGAATCCAAGACCAGACCGGTATTTTCAGTCTTGGGGAATGCAAAGATATCCGCATGTCTCCTATATTTGTCAATACCATAAATCTTGACAAAGAAGGTGAATTTCTTTTCTCATATGAGCTCCATCAATTTCAACCTTATGGTGCCAATATTTATGAGGAGAGAGTTGTTGGGACATTTTCTCATCACACGGCGTGATGTTTCATAGTATCGGCCATATTTGTAATGAGGGACCCGACTTTATTATTTTTTTTGTTCTCCCTTTCCTAGCCTTTTAGGCTATAAGGAGTTTTCCCGAGCCAGAGAATGAGGGCGGGTGATTAATTAACCTCTTTGGTTCGTATGACATCACAGTAGAGGTATTAGTGGGAAGCTTAATGATGTCCTTGATTCTCCTACGTATATTTTTATCTATACCTTCCTATTCTGCGGGATGCATCTTTGTTAGGGGCGCAGTCTGGAGTGGATAGATTAAGCAAATATTGGTTGACCTTCTACTCTAGTTTAAGCAAGCAGAGGCTCATTAATTAGGTTTAGACTCACTAATTTTGAGGTTACAGTTCAGTTTTGTCACCGTCACCCCATTTAAAACCACCTTTCCTGAGAATATGCATTCCAATTACTTGATGCAACTTTTGACTGTGCAATTTGGATGATATCTTCGGGCTGAAGCCCTTTCTCCCTCTCCATTCCCCCCAAAGAAGGTAAAATATAACCATGTCTTATGAAAAAAATTATTGTTCGAGTAATTAAATTTAAAAGGACTTCAGGAATCATTTTAACGCCATTTCGTATAGATATTTAGTTTCTTTCTTTTTCTTCCAAAGTAATTATCGTTATGTTGTAATGCTTTTGGGCTAAAGCCCCCTCCAAAAAAAAATAATAATTCCTGAATCCGCTAGTGACACGTTGCGTGATGTTATCGTCGAAGAGATCACTTCTAGCCATTATTATAAAATTACTATTGAAGAAATAGCTTTCACGGACTCGTTACTACACCACGAACTGCACGTCTATGGACCACGGTAACGTGGTGCCGTGATGACGGTGCATGTTGAAGCGTTGTCTGTTTTAAAGTTCTCGAGCCTAGCGGTGCCGGCTCGAATCGGACCTGGGAGGGTTGAAATTTATTCTCCTGGCGGAACCAGGGAATGAATCTCGACCTTCCTACCATGGTTAGAGTAGGTTGGGTTGTAACTATAGAACAATCTCTTCCTCTTGTATACCAGAAGAAATACAAAAATTGAAATTATATGTACGCTTTTTTCTCTTATGAATGGAACATCGATATTGTAAGCCATTGGCGAATTCTATGGAGGGTTTTAAATACATAAAGCCTGTAGTTTTGAATTCAACTTCATTGTGACGATGTTAGTTTATTCATACCATTTTCTCAACTAAATCAAACTAAGACGCAGATTCCGCTCCTGATAATAACTGCTGTCAATCTTTCTCAGCTTCGCAAAATTAATATAATCAACCAAGAGGAGAAAATGAGAAAGAACGAATAAGTTTACAAGGAACTTCTGTTATCCTGAGAAACCTCGTTTCTTCATAACATTTTAGGTCTATTATCCCAGATATTCTAAGTATTATTCTGAATAAGATTTTACATATTTCATCTTTGTCATCCTTCGGCCTGTTTTAGTCTGACAAGACTTACTTATTTGGATATATCAGCCGTATCCTCCTAGATGTAAAGTTTCTCACCTTATTTATGATTTTGACCCACTCATTTCATTTCTCCATTGATGTATTTTTTAAGCTTCCTTCCATTGACAAGAAGTGCTAGTCCATCCACATTGGCCAATTTATGTTGTTTTAAAAGTATATGTATGTATAAATAATGATAATTGTAATAAAGGATATCATCTATCTTTAAACAGTTGTTATTATATGCTTACCATTAAATTCAATATTAAGGGTTGCGTATTTCCCCAACTAGAATGCAGGATGTTGGAGAACAGAATGTTTAGTAAATAATTACTTCTAATAAGTCAACTAAACTAATAAATTAGTAGTTCCGAAAAGAGTACCAATCTGCTAATAATAAAAATACATATTTTTTTACTCTTCTCATTTGTGGATACTAGTGGTTATGACATTTAGTTTTTTTGCTGTTGTTGCTGGCAAGATTTTGTGGCTTTATCTGAAATGGTAATAAAGGAAATAATTTTTTTCCAGATTGAAACTGAAAATCCTTCCGAAAATCAAGGATCATTTGTAAAAACGAAGACCGTAATCTTAAGTAGTTTCCTTGTAGACGTAATATTTAGACTTTTAATGACCTAATATATAATATTAATGCCAATATTTACGATGGATCATCCCAGTCCAGAAGGTACAATGAATCCCATATGACTCGTATCCAAATTTGAAACTAATTCAAACTTAAATATTTTAGACGAAATATAATTCTATTTACAAATTTATGATACCTACTTCAATTGAGTAATTAAATAGGTTTCTATTCTCAACACGTTTTTAGAATATTCCTCTAGTCTTTTAAATTATAGCAACTATAGGAAAAGATACACATTCGATTCAAGTACTGATTAAAAATTTGTGGAAAACTTCTGGCTTCAATAATCGATATATACACAGAGATTGCGCCTGCACCGTTCGTAATTTGCTAGTTAAATGAACTTGTAAAGTATCTTTTGTTCAAAATTGGTTGTGCCCTATCAATATGGAAATACCCGAGACAGATTGCGAAGTCGTAGAAGGTAATGTAATATGGTTTTTACGTAAAAAAAGAGTGCCACATCCATAACATAAGTTATATGCTGGAGTTCAGATCTATCACCATAGCCTTTGATCATTGTTTTTGGAAGGACTCTTTACCTAACAGCGTTTATTAAGCCAATGATATTTATGCATTTCAGTAGCAAGGTACTTCAATGCTCTGCTTGACTAGAACTATTAATTTTCTTAGTAGAATAAATCATCTATGATAACCTTGAAGTCATTTCTTTCCAATTCATTTTTAATAATTATTAGTATTGATTATTTTTTAGAAATTAAAGTTCTAATATATTTTTTCCTGTTAAATATCCATTCATTATAGGTTAGGTATATATCTTTACTAAGACTGATAATTAATATTTCCTAAGTTAAAATCATAATGACTATGCTTCAGTTATTATGCTAAAGTCATGTGATAATGACCATATTGCCCTAACAGATGCTTTTTAATTTTGTTGTGTTTCAATTTAATAACATAATATTGATTTAAAGAATTTTTATTTACTTAGAGGACATACTAAACCTTTTGTTGATGAAGAATTCATGAATACAATTCTTTGGAAATTGAATATAAAACAATATTAATTGTTATTTAAGAAAATTTTGTGTATTAGCATAATGAACTGTTATTATTTGTAGTACTGTAGTTACTTATTTATATATATAGCGTCAGGTTTATTGCAAAAAGGCACTAAGTGCATTTTTAATGGAGCTTTGTTTTTAGAAACGTTTTGTGAACTTCGCCCTATTTTATTGATAAAAAAAGAAAATAAGTGCATTTAATTTACATCATTTTACATATCTAACGTAGTTACAAACTTTTAATTTTCTAATTTCGCAAAAGGAAAGTTTATGAAAGATTTAAGGTTATGAAATATCACTTAATGAATTTTTGAAATAAAGTGACAATATGTTCAATTTATTGGACTGAATGTTAACAATTGATTATCTTGAAAAGCATTGATGAAATATATTGTATGGTTTCCACAAAAATAACAACCAGCATGTATTAAAATAAATTAATAAATTCTTTGATGAGTTTTGCCCCATTAAAATCAGAATATTGTCTATTTAGTTTAACTATTTTTGGTGCATACTTGTTAGGATTTACTTAACTTTGATGTACTTGTTGTGATTTTACATTGATAAAAAAAGTCAAAATTTAGCAAAGTGTATTTAAAAGTTGGTCCACATAAAATGTACTTCTTGACTTTTCACGATAAATCAATGATTTCCAAACATTGAGGCCATGTTAGAGTAGCTAACGTGAAGAATTATTGAACAATCTGTATCATTATAGCTTGTTTTAATAGAGGAGAAATGGTTGACTAGACATTTTAAGTAGAAGTAGGTAGGTAGTCCCACTCATCATACAAACAAATTTTGACCCTATTTATCAATGTACAGTAAGTGCATCAAAATCAAACAATTTCGATATTAACTGTATCGAAGAATGTTGGTTGGCCACCAATAAAAAAAATTGAGCATACAAAAGTATGTTTCAAAAGAGAACTGCACGAACCTCAGTAGATGCATATAGAAAAAAAAGGAGGGTACAGAAAATAATACTCAGATACAGAAAAATCTCCTAGTTTTGATTTGGTTAGATGAAGTAATACCATATGATTGGAATAAAATAATTCTCTGCTGCCCTATACACAAGAAAGGGAGTTTGCTTGATTGCAAAAACTACCGAGGTATTTAGCTGTTACCGCATGCCTATAAAATCTTCTCCAATACACTTTACAAGTTTCTTCTGGCGCATGTTGAAAAAATCGTTGGGAGATATCAATGTGGTTTTCGCCACAATTGATACTACAAAGTGTGTGCGAGAGTACCAGATACCCGCACACCACTTATTTGTGGATTTCCAGTCACCCTACAATAGTCTTCAGTGTGAACCTCTATACCAGACCATGAAAATTTTTAATATTGCAGCAACATTTATATGCCTGGTAAAACTGACTATGGAAAAGATTAAAAATGTAGTGTTTATTCAAGGCAATCTCTCACAAGATTTGCAGCTATTAACTGAGAATGACAAGGAGACTCCTTTGCATGCCTATTGTTCAACTTATGTTTAGAAAAAGAGGTCAGAGAAACAGGAATCCAGACAAGAGGAACCATCTTCAATCGCACAATTCAAATCCTTGGCTAGGCAGATGATTTTGTCTTCATTAGAAGATCGTGAATGACTGTAAAAGAGGCCTTTCTTGCCCTCGATTCATTAGCCAAAAAAATTGGCCTTATCGTGAACTCTCAGAAGGCTAAATACATGGTCGCTAACAAAGTGAAGCCTCCTGATGAAGTTACCGTACAATTTCGACCCTACAAATTTGAACATATAAGTGGATTTATATATCTGGGCTCCTAAGTATACAAAAATAATGATATTTTGGCTGAATTAAGAAGAAGAATACTATCTGCTGATAGATGCTATTTTGGACTTCACTGTCAGTTTAGAAGCAGTTTACTTTCCAGAACTACTAAAATAAGTTAAAATTGAACTTTTTCTGATAGAGTGAAACCTTTCTATATTCGAAAGAAAGATTTTTCGACATATTTATGGTCCACTATGAGATAATGCAACATGTAGAAGGCAAGCAAACAACGAATTGTGCTCTCTATTAAAGGAAACAGATGTTGTTAAAATGATTAACCTTGGCAGCCTTCGATGGGCAGATCATGTGGCCAAGATGGATGCACAAAAAATTCTTAGGAAACTCCTCACTGAAGAATTAAATGGAAAACGAGCAAGAAGCCCCACCAAATTATGATGGGCTAATGTAAATGAAGATTCGATAAACCATGCTTGGTGTTCGAAGCTGGAGGACAGTAGCACTTGACCGAATTAACTGGCGAAAGCTGCTTGAGGAGGCTAGGCCACAGTGATGGGTTGTAGAGCCGATTGATGATGATACTAACTATAATCCCCAAGCAACTTCTACAACTATATAATTTTTTAAATTATGCAATTGGAACTACTTCATATCACTGATTTTTCCAAATAAAATATTTAGGGTGTTCATAAAAATGAAGGTGAATTTTTTTTTACATTATAAATTACTGCCTATAAAAAGAAAGCTGTAAGTTTTCATAAAATTATAACAAATAATAGAAATACTACTTTCCATAGAAATACTACTTTCCAGTGTTTCAACCGCCTCCCGCAGTGCCACATCCAACGCCCTGAGACGACCTGCAAAGTGGGTCGAAACGTCGGCAAAAATTAAAATTATTTATATATTTTAATTTTTTTATTTTTTTGACCGCACCCTCGACTAATTCCTTCTCATGAAATACTACTTTACTCAATAGTTTAAAGACCACCTTTGTCTACACTAAAATATAAAAGAAAAATTTAAATAAGTTATTTGAAAACCATTTGTAGGTTTGTTTCTATAGAGATATATTAAATTGATGCTACATCATTGTAATAATTAATCCACCTAGTATTTTACCCAGTAATCTTTTTTTATAATTAAGGTTTCAATTTGAGAATCAACAGCTCTAATTAACCTTACAAATTGTTTATTTGCATTCAATTATAAACTGTTCAACCAAGTGTTTTAAAAATTACAAATCTTCATTAGATCTCGATGTATTCACTGGATAACTATGGTAGTTTTCTTCTTCTTCAGCTTTTAGATCTGAGTACTCAATTGCTGAGTAAAATCTAGTGCGAAATATCCAAATGATTACATTTTCCATGTAAGTTTAACATTTCTTTAGTATATTTTTCTGATATTTTTATTCTTTTAAAATGAGTAGAAAAAACACTTTGCTTCATGTGTCAAAAGAAAAAATGGTTTGTTGGTTACATAGCATAAAGAATAAATGAGCCAATGCTGTATTTACTGATAACTTGAAATTAAATTGTCTATATTGTCACCTGGGCACTAAAACGCTATTGTGTGATTGACAATCGCACAAGGAAACCTTTTGTCAGGTTGGCCAAGCTATTCAACATGATGTTAACTGAATGCTATTCAACTATATTTTATAAGAAATCTAGTAAAAGGTTTAAGGTAAATAAGAAATTTATTTGAAGCGGTCCGGGGTGTCCACATTTTTCAAAGAACTGTATTAAGGTGAATGAAAAATCGAAGATTGGCAAGAAGACACGTTAATTGTACCGAAGACGTGGTAAAAATATTCACTGTGCGATTTATTCCCTGGAGCAGTGGTTCTCAACCTTTTTCTGACTGCTGAATACTTCTGGCAGTAGTAAGAAAATCGAGGAACACTACTGCTTATTAACATGTTGACTCTTAATGTTATTTTTTCCAAGCATTAATGGTCATTTAAGAAAGGTTGTGTTTTTGAAAAAAACAAACATTGTTTTCTCAAGTATGAATTAATGTTCAAATCAAAGCTATCCTAACACACACACACACACACACACACATATATATATATATATATATATATATATATATATATATATATATATATGGAATAGAATAGAAAATTGAACTTTATTCTGGGATTAAGTCCCCTTAGAATAACAAAGATGAATTTCTGCAAAATAAAATACAAATTTGGCCAAAAACTAACCCATAGAAATTCTAACATTATATACATTATTTAAAAAGTAATATGTAACCACTAAGAAATAATATAATATATATATATAATATAATATATATATATATATATATATATATAATATATATAAAAGAACATAAAATCTTCTCAAAATTACTTATTATTGTGTTGGAAAAAAAAAAGAAAAGAAATTACATATTTATATATACATAACTGCACAATTTATAAACAATAGGCTATCTAATAGAAAAATAATTTAATACAAAATGTAATAATATCTACAGTGATTCATATAATAATATGCAAACACTATGATAAAATAAAATCTCAGGATTACTTGTGGTATAAAGGAAATATGTATACCTACATACTCATATTGGTACACAGAGAGACAAAAAGTATAAAATATAAACATATATAGCCAAAAGAAAAAACACAACCTGAGGCGAAGAGAAAAACAAATAAATATTAAAAATAATAGTCAAAGATCATTGCTGTTTTATGTTAAAACTTAAACAGTAGGCACCACCATTTACTTCTCACAAATTCAGTTCATAAAATGAGATTTATGGTTTTGATCCATCTGTTTGGGATGTAAGGAGATATTGGAAAAGGAGGTATTTGAAAGTTGACAGTGAAGAGGCATGACGGATGTTATATGGCAAAGAATTCCAGTAGGTGAAGAAGCAAACTAAGAATATATATATATATATATTGTTCTAAGAATAGAAGTAACAAATTCTCTGTTGATGGTAAATACCCATCCAATAAACCCAAAACAAAACCATTGATTTTAGTGGAATATTTCAGCTTGAAAAGTTCGACATATAATTGCAATATTTGAACTTAAAAGGGTGAATGCTACTCTCATTTTAATCTTTCTGATAAAGGTACCCTATAAACCTGATATATTTCATGAATATGTCACACCATTTGCTCATTTATTGTGGCTGATTTTGTGTTATTCATCCATAATTCAAGGCCTCACTGCTTAATTACATTATTGCAACTACTGTTCGCTCATTAATATTAATCTCAAATATGGCATTGTCTTTGAATTTGAAATCTTGAATGGCTGTTCTCCATATGCTTTAGACATGCAATAAGACTGGATTTGAAAAAAAATTTTACTTTTACTTGGATTTAAAAAATTATTAGTTTGATCTAAAAATCAAAACTGATCGTCGGATAACTCGAAAACAATATGTCTTCTACAAGATCAATATTAGAAAAGATATAAGATTCTTTTCCATCGTCTGTATTTTATTCACATGCTTCCATATGTTACATCATTATTTCTCAAATTTGGCATATGAACATGGCATTTCAAATGGTATTAATTATGTGTGATAAGTCTGATTTTTAGAATATTTGTAAATAAGTGGTTAGCAAAACTTAACTTTTTTATAATATTTTATTTGAATTATTTTAATGTTGTAGGGAAACGTAGGGCCCAGGTTCGAATCCTGGCTCATGCCAGAATATTTTTTTTTCTGTTTCATCAGCCGTGGGGCGACCCTGGGGTCAGGAGATTCTCCTGGGGCATACCCAGTTTCTATGAAGTTAATACCCTTAATTAAATAATTAATAAAGGGAGAAAACCTGGTAGTTGAGCGGGATCTCTGTCCAATCCCCTCCTTGCACAACCGTTGACTAAGAAACAGTATTTTCCCTAATAGTACTGAACACAAGACTCTTCATGGTAATACATATTTTTTTAAATATTATATTTAATTTTGAGTTTATAAAAATTATTGGTTGATTTGTATTAAATTATAATATATACTACGAAAATTCAATGCTTTTTAAGAAATTCAAGTATGTAAAATAAGTTATTATACATGGTGCCATCTTGGCCTTTTTCGCTGCCGGGCAATGATGTCATCTCCCCCAAAAAATTTAATTTATTTCTTAAGCTATTTCATATTAACTAATATTTGAATTTTATTTCATTCAATATGTCTTTAAAGCAGATGCTTTCTTAATAGGCTAAAATTATTTATTCTCATATGATTTTTATTTATTTATTTTTAATTCTTAGCATGTGGCAGCCTCACTTCCACACACTGGCGCTCCCGAGCAATACCCCGCCCTAATGCACGCCACTTATTATACACTTTATTGTTACATAACTTAAACACTTTATCATAAACATAAATAAAAACGTTATGGTGAAATGAAGTATTTGTGACCCAAACCATGGGTAACAGGTAGTATATATAAACTTTTCAGGAATTCATAATTTAATGTTTAATTTACTAATTTAATGTTTTATTCTTATAGAATATGTTCTCCCTTGTACTCCTGAGGAAGAGAACATTTATGAAGAGTCTCCTCCAATAGGTACGAATCATATCAATAATTATAAGCATTAATTCTGTGGGCGATAATTAAACCATTTATTTATTTATATTAATGTTAATTCTTTAGAAGGTGAAGAGTGGATGGTGGTTGATACCGAGGAAGTTGTACAGTCAGAAGAAAAACAGACACCTGCAGTGTTGAGTGAACAACGTCCGTTACATTTTGACGGTTGGTTAATTGTTTTAAATGTTTATGTCCCTATCTATGTAGATTGGATTTTTATTTATCAAAGAAAAAAAAACTTTCTGTGGCCTTCATTCCTCAAATTGCAGTTTTTCTGAATCTCTAAAATGAAAAGTTTATGATAATAGTGTACTTATTTCTTTAAAAATGGTCCAAAAGTGGAATAATATCAAAAGAAATCTTTTCATGTTAATTTATTCATGTTGTGTAGATTCCATAATTTTATAGTCCCTTAAAAATAAACTAAAGCTAAAAAGTAACTAATGGTAATATTGCATTAAGAAAAGATTTTTTATATATTGAAAAAAAATTCTGTGTATTTTATTTTTTACTTTTCTGTGGGTTTCGCCTAGAAAGAATTATTTAACCAAAGGGCTTATGTACTAAGTTGACCTTTCATTATTTCCCTACTGCTACTGGAAAAGTATTTTAATCGGGACTAATTTTTTATGTGCAGCTTTCAACAGATCTTTTTTTGAGTCCAAAAAATGCCTTTTGGTCATTGATCTGACTGCTGTAGCTCTTGAATGGGTGAACAGATATTATTTTTCTGTAGGACTTATGTTCCTTTATGTTTGTTTACCAGATTAGGCAACCTAAAAACTCTTTTTTTTTCTATGGACTGTTCCCCAAAGTCCTCCTAATAATTTTGATTAAACTTGTCTAATTTGCTATTACAGTGGTCTCACCTAACTCCCTCTGATTTTTTAAAAAAATATTATTTGTTGATTGATGAACAAGCTATGTGATTTAGCTACTCAATGCAGATCAGCAGCCATGCAATATTATTGTAGTTCTTTCCCTCCTCCTTAAAACTCTTTAAGTTTTCACACATCACACGTCTTTAAGAAATAACAAGTAAAAATTTAATTAGAAAAATAAATTCTATTTGCACCCAACTCAAAAAGAATTTTGTTGTAAAATATATTCATGATCGCTTGAGAAGATATTGAAATCTCTACAAAAACAAAACCAAATTCATCTTTTGGACCAGTATTAGTAAAAATACAATATCTTTGCACTTTAAACCTATATTTTTTTTTAAGCATTCTTTAATTTTTCTCGTGAAAATCATCTCCTTTTAGTTTTATTTTCATTTTAATAAATAAATGTTTGTTACTTGAATGTTTTAGGTAGAATCATTTGGCTTAGAACAGATTCCGAGATTGTCGAATATGTAGAATGTGATCAAGGTATGTAATGTATTTATGGAATAATTGCAAAATAATATATTCAACATTAACAAATCTTATTAAAATTCTTTTTTGCTATTCATAGAAGTAGAAATTGAAACTACCGAGGTTGCTCCAGAAATCAAAGAAGATACATCTAGCCTAGAATCAAGTAAGTTATTAGTTTTGAAAATTTAAGTATCCAGTAAAAAAATAATAATAATTGTAATCTAAAAACAAATTATTTTTCATAAATTATAAGATAATTTTGTTGACTCAATAATTATTTTTTCAGACACAGCTGGCAAATTTGGAAATTCTGACATTGAATATGAAGATGATTCCCAAGATGATGACTGGGTTAACCAGTCACCTAATAAAGACAAAATAACAAAAGGTATAATCAGAAAAATACTTTTTTATCTGTTAAAAGGCCCATCTAGGCCACATTGGATTAGTACCCCAGGACTCCTGAGTACTGATTGACAGTTTAAATTTGGCATGTTTGGGTTGATTTTTATTTTTGTGACACACTTACGGAATATATTTCAACCTTCCCACTCTTGGTAGATTAGGTCGGTGTGTACAAGTTCCTAAACTCAGCACTTAACTCATTGATGGATTCAAATAAACCTGTTTAGAGACGGTTCTATTGATGACCACAGAGCTGCGTTTAGGAACTTGCCCTTACCTTTAAGATAACCCTCTCTTCCTGACATAATTAGAATATAAAAGGTAAGGAGTAAGGAATCAAATTAAACCAAATAAACAAACTTTTCATCTGAGTTTGTGGTTGACTCTACTTATTGTTTTTTACCTCACAGTTCCTCATTTACTGTATTTCATTTTAATCTTCTACTAGAAAATGATATATTATGATTGAATCAGTTTATATTTGAACCTTATTTATTTATTTGCATCCCCTATATGACAATACGGGATTCAGAAGCAGTAGAACTAGTGAATTATTATTTTTAGAATTGTGCGTCCACTGAGTGTCAACATTTTTAATGTTGGTCAACCATATTTCTTGAATCTGGATTCGTTATTTCTTCATGAAGTTCAGTTTCTTTTCACACCTCAAAATCAATACCCATTGCTACTGAGAGGTGGAAAAGCCGCCTATACTGCATATATCAGACTCCAAACAAGAATAACTTAATGGAATACCCATTCTGTTGAAATGTTAAAAATCACACATTACCTATGTGTACCTATAGGTGGACGCAGAATTTGTTGCTCAACAACTTTTATTCTGTGCATTATTCCTCTTAAAAAACTCATTTCTTAGCTAGAGCACCATTTATCCCAGTTTTTGACCAAAATCAGCATTCATTGATGTGGTTTTCAACCATATCACTTAACTAACTTATTAAGTTTAGGTACTTGTTGGACACACAATTTAACATTCTTTGATTTCTTAAACAGTATGTTTTTCGCTTTGATGAAGAATTCAGGATTAACATGGGGTAATAGTCTATTAACTAATTTGGAATGGAACTAGGTAGATGGGTTTCTAGAAACATCTCACCCCAGATGCCTAGGTGTGTCCCCAGCAGTAGGGACTGCTACTTTCCATCCATAAATGAATTGTTTGAGCCGTAGGAAATTTTCTTCACTTACTAATTGAAACTCAACTTCTGTGAGAACGTGATTCCTACGGTCCTTATTATTCTCCGGTCAGTCCTTAAGACCCTCTGTCATCAATGGGTCCCTTAAGGCCTCAAATGCGATGCAAGTCTTGACCACATGCTCTACAGTTTCTAGAACAACAGAGGTTGGACATAGAGGATCCATATTGACACCAAGACTGTAAAGTTAGGCTCAAAATTCTTTATATGTGCAGTGAAGAATTGGGAGGGCCAGGGGCCTGGGAGGACCCACTTTACCTTTAGCCTTAACTGTACCATGGGCAAGTTTTTCTGCAATGTACTACCTTTAGAAGTAGTTACCTACTGCCAGCTTTGTGCTTCGATCGTGTCCTCCCAGATTGTTTTCTTCCATCTATTAGGCATATTCATAATCCTCACTTGAAGATTTTCCAGAAGTTCTGTAGAGTCTTCTCTCTTATATAAATATTTTGTCACTTCTTCTCGCAGGAGGAGGTCGAGAGGTAGCGCTCGTGCTAAGATTTGCACCACTTCATGTGACATCTAGTCAGCAGATCCATTGGATCCAGCTGATCAATCTTCAGATCGATGCCAGCCTGTTCCTTTGTCACAGTGTAAAATTTTTATTCCTGAAGGGGGCTGCATACCTCAGACTCCCCTGTAGTCATGGTTTTTGGGGATCTGAGGCCTCAGAACCTTTTGCTAAAGGTGAACCTCTCATGAGAAGCTGTTCTGAAATTTTACCTTTGTGAACAAATGGTCATAAGAAATTGATGAACTATTTGAATTATTAATAAACGTTTTAATTTTTATAAATAATGAAGTTCTAATCATTTAGTTTAGCATTAGAGGTGGGCCTAATTGTAATCATGATTAAGATTACAATGTGTGTCATTTTTGTTTTTATAATTGTAATTGTAATTATGGTTATGGCCATGTCTGTTTAACATGGTAAAAAAAATTATAATTCATTGTTAAATACAATTAATATATCCACCCTTTTGATAATTCATGCCTGTTATGATTGTGTATTTGAAAAATAAATCCCACAGTTGGTTAATTTGAATCATGAACTAGACTGAAGAAAAATTAAGTAACTATAAATTTTTATTACCTTTAATTTATTAAATACGATGCAATAGTGCTCATCCCACAAATTTAATTTTTTTTTACCAATTTTTATCTCTTGTCTAAAGTACTTTATGGACAATTTACTAGTATTACAGTATGTAATAAATGTTTCTTAAATACGTATTGATACTTAAGTATATGTTATTATTATGGTAAATAAAATATATGATGTGATTATTATATACACATATAAAAATCTGATCTGGCCTCCTTTTAAATAGTGTACTCTCTTCTTATTCAGTGCCTGCAAAGAAAGAGATGTATTATGTTTCCATAAAATATAAATTTACCACTTGTCTTTGATAAAATAAAAATTTATTTCACCTATCCATTATTTAATAACATGAAATTTAAATTGAAATCCCAACAGCCTCATTATCAGTCATATTTTAAATTTATTATGGAATATTCAATGGAAGAGAAAATGATTTTTTTCAATGTTTTTATTTCCCTTTTGTAGAGGAATATAGGACAATGATGCTGCTGACAACGCTTTAAGAAATTGCCGTAGTCAGATAAACAATGTAAAGGGCACTTTATGGTACTATATTGAGCTTTGCCTTGTAAATTTATTTTTTTCTTGTTTGCTCGGGTAAAGATTGGTCTGCTATGTGGGTCAAAATATTTTTTTTTTTTACAAACAAAAAATATTTGTTCTACTGTCTTCTCTATATCTATATACCTTTACCATCTTCTCCTTAATACACAGTCAGCTGTCTCAATGCTAATTGTTATTGAAAAATAAGAACTTTTTAATGTTATTATTTTTTATTGAGATATCTATTTTATTTTTTTCAGTTTCCAGATCCAAAAGTTTAGATATAGTCTGCTATAGCTGTGGAAAACAATTTGATTGTTTGAGTTCGCTACAAGATCATGCCAGAGCAAATGGGACAAGACAGGCAAGAGACATTGGCAGAGAGCCTGTTTGGAAAAAACATACATGCTGCATTTGTGGTTATACTACTGAAAAAATTTGGAGCCTCAAGACTCATATCACTTCTATTCATGAGGGTAAAAGGCCCTTTGTTTGCCCTCATTGTGAATACAGTTGTACTCAGTTAGGAAATCTAAGGTCTCACATTAGATCTCAACATACCAAAGAGAAACCATTTGCATGTAAAGAATGCGACTACAGGGCAACTGGCTCAGCAGCCCTGAAGCGACATGTCATGTATAAACATACAAAAGAAAAACCATATCAGTGTAATCACTGTATTTTTAAAGGAACAACATCAGCTGCTCTTAAATGTCATGTGATGTCAGTTCATACTAAAGAAAGGCCATATGGTTGTGAATATTGTGACTACAGAGCTTCACAATATGGGGCTTGGAAACAACATGTTTTAAATGCACACACAAAGGAGAAACCATACCACTGCACACATTGTGACTATAGTTCGACCAAGTTTGATGCGTTACAGACACATATCAAAAATAAGCATAATGTTTATGAACCATCTTTCCAGTGTCCTCATTGTGACTTAATACTTAGTCATACAACATTACTTGTTGCTCACATGCAAGAATTTCACTCTGATAATATTAGTAGCCACCACTGCCCCTATTGCGAGCATATTGCTGAATCAGAAGAAGCCATTAAGGAACATATTCATATAAAACATGCTCAGAAAAAGTCTCAGCAGTGTCCATTTTGTGGTGTTACAGCTTTGAGTTTCGGTGGCTTAAAACGTCACATTAAAGTAGTTCATGTGAAACACAAATATTATGTATGTGTTTATTGCAACTACAGGGCCTCGTTACCTGAAGATTTGGAAGGTCATGTTTCAATAACACATGCTGAAGAAAAGAAAAAGCTTTGTTGTTGTCAGTGTGATTTCAGGGCCAATACTTATGCTGAACTTACTAACCATATTATGTCAGAACATTTGAAACATAACCCTTGCCAGTGCCCATTTTGTTCACATATTGATACTTCAAGTGAAGGCCTTGCTACTCATATTCGTTCTGTGCATGCAAAACAAAAAATGTACAGGTGTCCTCATTGTGATTTCAGTACTGCTTCTAGTCAACAGGATGTACAAAATCACATAATGACTGTACACGAATAAGACTTGTAATTTATAATTCTATTTTTTGTAAATTATATATATATTTTTGTAAATAGTATAAATAAGTGCCAAAATTGTTTATAATACATATATTTTATAGTAGTTTGCATTTCTTTTTCCCTATAATAAGTTTTTTCAATATTTATTCTGGTAACTTGGGTTATTTTGATAGGAAAAGGCATGGGTATAGCCAGAGGGAGGCAAGGTTGGATAGCTGCCTCTCCCTCAAACAAATTAAAATAAAATGAAGAATTTTATGAAAAGTTTATTGGCAGCGATAGATTGATTAGTATTTCAACATTTAGAAAGAAACTAATTATGAAAAAAGACACCTTCTACATGAAAAACATTTCTCCGTGTTGGGACAACTTATTTAGCAGGCTATGCTACAAGGATAATGGGAACAAAATATATATACACAAAATCATACATTATATTAAGTACAAAATTAAATTATATAAATAAATTAAATAGATTTTTTTTATTAGTTATTAGTTTGGTTGCCAAGTTATACCAGGATGAGAAGATTCTTCTTTAAAGAAGTCAAAACCATTTTAATTAAGCTTTAGGGGCAATAAAGCTAAAAATAATATATATATTTTATTGTCCCTGCCATTTAATATACATAATTAATTGAATATACCAAAACCAATAATCGATCTGATGCTGTTCGTTCTGTAGTCAAATTAAATAAGATGTAAAGATACTTAAAAAATTATAGTATAATTACAGTATTGAAGACTAATAAGGTCCAACATAATGAAAGCTTTATATTCTATACACAAAAGTCCAATGGAAAAACTACTACATTAAATATTGGTTTGTTTGATTAAGGATGTAGGTATAGATACTTATGTGACAAAATTTATAGGATTATAGTATTAAACCTGTATAACTAATTGAGCATCAGAAATTATGATGGTAAGTGACATGTGTTATTCCACAATGGATATTTTTTAATTACTATTAAGGGAATGCTAATATAAATCCAGTAATTTAACATGAGAAAGATAAATCTATAATAGTCATATTAACCAAGTAATTAATTAGTATAGTTAAAACCTAGATGCATTAATGAATGCCTTTTTTTTACTTAAATTTCTGCTGAAATAAAAAACATCCGATTTTTTAACCTTCTTTAGTTAACTATTAATGTTTAAATGAATTAACTACCCTATGGTAACACTGATTTACAATTGTTTAAAATTATACTAACATGGATTTATTACCTTATAAACTGAGACTTCTGCTGTAATATCTCAGTGACATAAGGAAATTTTACTTTATCAAATGAAGCTAAATAAAATATTAGGTTTCAGGAAGTAATAAATTCCGATTCAGAAAAGCTTTTCCGCTAAACTATTGCTGTAATTTAGGTATTTGAAAATGAATTAGTACGTGTAAGCTTGCCGATTCTGAAGTGCATAAAATTTTGAAAATATGATTGTCTATCATTGTTATATTTCCAATCCACTTCTACATAAATTATTTTCTACATTAGATACTATCAATGTAATCGATGAGTAAAAACGATTAATTGAAAACTAATATAATAATTAAGTGGTACTTTATGTTACGAGAGCTTAGATATTTATCGATATTAGGTTATTGGATACATACAATCACGGTTTACAATTTACTTTTAGTGGAAACATAAATAAAAGTTTGTAAATTCAACTAACTGTTTATTGAAGAAGGAAATGTGAATCGTTTCCTGCGATATAAAATATCGTCGTTCCGTGATGTATACACAGAATGAATTAATATCAAATATTTGTTATAATTTAAAATGAAAAACATAATTTTTAATATAGTAAAACGAGCTTTGCTTTTTTTTTTTTTTTTGGAAGGGGGGCGCACACCCTCAGACTTGTTATACCCTTATCACTTATTTAGTTATGATTATGAGCAAATGAATCTGTTAGAAATAATAATATTTCCATCTATATAAGAATATCTAAAAAAAAACATAAAAATTCTTAAATCCTTTTATAAGTTTAATGTATAGAATACTACCGAACAACCAAACTGTAATGACTGAATTTGTTCAGGGATGGGCCGTATCGCCTTGTCGGGGCGAAGTGTCAACTTGTGTTAGGGGTGTTTATGTGTCCATCTAGCTCTAATCTTTTTAAGTTACTGATTAACTGCATTATTGATTCAATTACCATTCGATAGAGAGACTGACGTTCGTGCCTTTTGAAATAATTTCATTTAAATTATCTAATCGTAAAATCCCGGTATTGATAACTGTTTTAGTTGTATTCCTTCTCAGGAATATCTTTAGGTGAGTAAATTGTTGGTAGTCATTGTTATTTAATTTTGCTTTCCAGAAACCTTGTTTTAACTTGCTTACACTACACATAACTGAAGTACATCTTTTACAATCTGTGTTACATTGTGGTGCATCTTAAAAGATAAACATCGACATAGTATTAACCGGTTTCGCTGTCATATTCACGAGTTTAAACAAATATTTATTACTTTTATTACTTGTGTTTAAATTATATAATTTAAATTTAAATCTCAGATTTTTAATTCTGACAAGTTTAACTTCACAAAGCTTCACTGTTGTATTAGTATGTTAAATCAGTTTATGGTTATCTTTAGAGTTTATTAGATATTGTTTTCTTTTAAATCTAATTGTTTGTCATTCACAACAGAAATAGAGCTCTTTAAAATTGAAATTTATAAGTTGTTTGAGTCAATGAACAAAGCGACAACATTTGATTCCTGAAAATATTCTTCCTATTTAGCAAAATTATCATGTATTCTGCATGTATCACTGATAATTGTTCCAAGTTGCCAATTCTTCATTATTTTCTTAATTAAAGGTTATAAAAAATGTATTATTTGGTAACACCAGTTGTCTTGAGGAGGTGTACATGCATTTAATGAGTGATTTACAATTTATTAGTGAATTTATTTTTAATTATCGAATTGGAATTTACTTAAAATAAGATGATTTGTCTTACATGTTACTCGATTGTTAACTAAAAAATTCCTTGATACTGGCTCACAGTAAATTTAGATATGATACGGTTTTAATTCATGTTTGATTCTTGTTGTAGTATTATGATTATTATGACTATTATTATGATTATTATGAGTATTATGATTGTTGTAGTATTATGATTATTATGATTATATTTGATTATTATGACAAAGTAGTATAATAGCCATCTATTATCCATCTGTAATTTCTTCTCTCCATTTGTTATTTGTCTTGTTTTAGTTCAATTAAAAACTTTTTGACTTAAGGAATACACTCCAATTCAGTTTTATATGTTGTCGTAGCTCTGAATTATCTTAGCTTAATTTTTATTAAAACATCAAAACAAGTTTTTAAGGGGCTGTCTAAATGTTATTAATATGATCAACATTTGAGGATAGATTGTAAACTTTTACGGAATTATTATCTTTGAATTGCAAAATAGCTTTGATTGAAGAAGTTTGTTCCCTCCATTATCCTATGGATGATAATTTGATTTTATCCTGTTTACTTAACAAGTGCAAATAATCCTTATGACTTTTTATGCTGCTTATTCAATAAATTTTTATGTACTGTTTATGATTAGAAATGTGAATTCAAATTCAATTTTTTGTATGGATATTTTATATCATCCTGTTATCAGGTAAGTTTAAATAAATACCATCATTAGGAATAATGGTCATACAATTTTAGAAATGCAGTTTTAAAGGCTTTGAAATTGAAAACAGAACTTTGATGGATTTACTTAGTTGTGTCTATATTGGTTCCTTTTATTAAAATGTGGTGTTTCATGTTTTTCAAGTGATTTGCCACCAAATTTTTATGAATAATAAATTGATAAACATTGATAATTAAACATAAAGTTTAAGTAATGTTTAAAAAATCTCTTTATTTGTCTCACTTTATTTATTGCTATGTTTTCTGTTCTGACAGTACTTGTTGAAGCTTTTGATTTAGAATTAATTAACTTTTTTATAGAATATGCAGAACGAAAGTCTTTATGATTATTTTTGATTAATGATAATAAATCATTTGTATTCAAAAGTAATAAAACATTACTTTTATAATATGATTTTGTAAATACATATACATCACTTAATTTAATTTGTGTTGCTAGATTGGTATTCATGGGTAAATTTTATAAAGCACTGGCAATGGCTCACATATAGTAGTATTGCTCTTTAATTTTTTTTTAACTGTTAAATCTTAGTTTTTATAAGAAATATTGATGGAAAATAACCTAAATATTTAAAATGTATATTAATATTGGCAATATTGCTGGTGTATGCAGTTTTTTGTTCATAAATTTGCTGTGATTACTTTTTTCTGATTTTCCCTAGTAAGTATGAATATGTTGAAGTAAAAAAAAAACAACTGATTTATATAATTAATGCATTTTGAAAAATGTTATTTTATATTAATGTTTTATTTGTTCAATCATTGAAAAAAAAAATAATAGATCAGATATTTTTAATTATATCAGTTATTATGTGTATTTGTTCTATCATACCCCTAACATTAAGACCTAAATATTTGTATTTGTAGATAAGAAATACCTCTAGTTTTTCACCAATAGAAAATTTATTGTGCCACTGTATAATTTAAATGTGGTCCATTTTGCATAGGGGACCAATATTTTTACCACTAGACTACTTTACTTCGATATTTCATTAATAAAAGATCGGTCAGTTTTATTTGGGTAAAGACTAGTTAATGATCTGCACAATGTTAAGGATTGGTATGATGCATCTTATAAGACAGCAACTGTTATGATTGACTGCCTCGGTGAGATTGATTGTAGAGGATGTCCACTAGACTTAAAAACCTGGATTTTTTATGAAAAATACTGAGAGTTAGGGTAGTACATAAACTAGAGGATGTAAGGATAAATTTGCTGTTTAATTTAGAATCATTTTGGTCCACGCTGAGTTTGCATCATAGTGATATATACTCAAAATATGCGTTGCTTGGCAACCTGAAATACTGAAGATCATGATTTTAAATCCGG